CATAAGTCCTGTATGATGTATTGTATCTTCTAAATCCTACACATCGTTGTTTTTTTGCAAATAGTAGCTTCTTAGGATATCACTGGCTAACAAAATATCACAACAATAAAAAAGAAAAGATAAAAAATTGTTGGAGGTATATATAAAAGATAAATAAGAATATTAAATACTATAAAATGAGTTAAGCAAAAGGCTTGAGCCCAAGGAAATATCTGATGGCAGTAATATTACCCAAGATATCACAATAAGGAAAGCCAGATAAAAAATACATCAGAAATAATAATAATAACAACAACAACAATCAATTACATCAGAAACAAAACAAAATTATTAGAAAAAAAGGAAATAAATGGTGTATCAGAATATTGCAAAAAAAAAGTAAGTGAATCCTACCTTAGGAAAATATGAGAGTTACCTATATCTAAATGTTTATTTTCATAAAGTTTTTATAAAGGCAATAAAAATAAAAAGTGAAGTTTCAGACCTTACTGACAAAGAAAACAGGTCAAGAATATCCATCAAGTATTGTTAAAAGAACTCACTTATGTAAATGCTATCTACCGTGTTTCTCACAAAATAAGACCGGGCCTTATTTTTTTTGACCCCCCCCAAAAAAAACTAGGCCGTCTTTTCAGGGGTGACTTAATTCCCCCCCCCTTGCATCCTCGGGTGGGCAGGCGGCAACAACTTGGATGTTGACCTCGGCGTTGTTGGGGCACTTCATATCGGGACACCTTCCGTCACCGTTGCTTTCCCTTCTCCCTTGCTGCTATGGCATTTAGAGCAACGCCGCGGTGTTTGGCGCAGCCACGTGCGGCCAGCCAGGGCTCCTCCCTTCAACCGGAGCCCGGCGGAGACACTCGGCTTCAGGCGCTCCTGTCGCCGCCTTCCCTTTGCCTTCGAAGGTAAAGCCAATTATTTTAAAAACGACGCCCTACTACAACAAAGCCTCCCCTGCCCGAGAGGGCAGCCCAACCCCACGTGGGGAGGCGAATCTCCCGGGGCCGCAGCGCAGGATCGGCCCACCTCAGGAGAAGCACCCAGCCGCCATCCCTGCCTGGCGCCGGGCACAGCGTGAAGATCTTCGCCTGGGACGCCCAGCGCAGCTGATAGGCAGGCCCTCCTTCCCGGCAGCAGAGCTCTCACCAAGGCAGTGAGCGCCTCCTCGTTGGACCCTCTGTTCATCCCACCAGGGCTGCTCCAGAGCCATGTGGGCTGGGCAGAGCCAGGAAAGCAAGACATGGGTGTGCACGCGCCTGCCAAGCAAAAGAGCCGGGCCGACCTGAGCTTGGCTTCCTTCCCAAGTCCCTCCACCGCGAACTTGAAGGTGCCACCAGGAGAGGCTGCCCGAGGCAGTGATAGCACCCACCCGTCCACAGACAGGGAGGCGAGGTGATGGCAGCGCTGCTTCCCTGGCCGTCAGAGAGAGCCCGAAGCCCCCCATCCTTTCCACCCCTCGCTCAGCCTGTCCCTGTCTCCACGCATCTCCAAATGCACCAGCAGCTCCAAACGCTGCAGCGGAACAGGCATCAGGCAGAGGCGCTGACTAGGCGGGGCTCAGCTCGGAGGAGGATGCGGCGCAGGCCATCGCCTTGCCTCCCTGTCCACGGATGGGTGGGCACTATCACTGCCTCGGGCGGCCTCTCCTGGTGGCCCTTTCGGGTTCGGGTTGGAGGGACTTGGGAAGGAAGCCAAGCTTGGGTCGGCCCGGCTCTTTCGCTTGGCAGGCGGGCGCGCACCCGCGTCTTGCTTTCCTGGCTCTGCCCAGCCCGCACGGCTCTGGAGCAGCCCTGGCGGCATGAGCGGAGGGTCCGGCGGGGAGGCGCTCGCTGCCTTGGTGAGAGCTCTACTGCCGGGAAGGACGGCCTGCCTGTCAGCTGTGCTGGGCGCCCCAGCCAAAGCTCTACGCGCTGTGCCCAACGCTAGGCAGGGATGGCGGCTGGGTGCTTCTCCCGGGGTGGGCTGATCCTGCGCTGCGGCCCCAGAAGATTCGCCTCCCCACGTGGGGTTGGGCTGCCCTCTCGGGCAGGGGAGGCTTTGTTGTAGTAGGGTGTCGTTTTTAAAAGAATTGGCTTTACCTTCGAAGGCAAAGGGAAGGAGGCGACAGGAGCGCCTGAAGACAAGTGTCTCCGCAGGGCTCTGGTTGCAGGGAGGAGCCCTGGCTGGCTGCACATGGCTGTGCCAAACGCCGCAGCGTTGCTCTAAACGCTGCGGCAGCAAGGGAGAAGGGAAAGCAATGGTGGCGGAAGGTCTCCCGATACGAAGTGCCCCACCAACGCAGGCAGCACCATATCCGGGTATGCAACAAAAGTACTTCCTAACGGCAAGACCCCCCACCATTCCCCCCATTTCACATGTTTAATATAGGCCTTAATTTGGAGGGAGGGGCTTAATTTGATTTTATGCCAATAAAACATGCTGGCCCTTCCTATTGGTGGAGGCCGTATTGTTGGAGAAACACGGTAATAGAATAATAGACACTGGGCATGTGCACCACTGAGGTTGGCAGCTTGGCAGTTCGATTTACATGAGTGAATAAACCGCGAAAGGGACAAAAAAGGAGCCTCCCCCGATTGCTCCTAAATAAATAAATAAAACATAGATCAACTTGTACACTAGAGGAGTTAACACAGTAAGATATTTAACATTTATTCCAAATCAATTAGTGGAAATCATGCTAAAAATAGGACAATGTAAGCAACATAAGGCCAGATGTAATAAAAGGATTAACATGGTCCTATTCCTGGAAAAAATGAATCTTGAGTCCAAAGGAGTGGCTGAAGGCTGGGCCTCTTTCTCCCTATTAACACTGATTGGGACAGGCCTTGGAGAAAGAAACTGAAGCAGTGCAATATTGTGCTGCTCAGCCTCATCCCCATAGCCAACCCAAAAGGATACCATGGTTGATGGCATCAAAAACTGCTGAGAGATCAAGGAGAGCAAGGATGGATGCACTACCCCCATCCTGCTTTGCCATATATACACATAATGTATGTAACAAAATTGTGTTTATGAAGTATTTCAAATTGTTTGAACTCACATTGCTGGAATAAAAAAATACTCTAGTTCAATCTTCTGCAGTCAGTAGCTTTATTTAAGTACCACAGGATTTATACCTAAACGCATAATACTGAAGTCTTACAGCCCCATTCCAAGAAATATCATGAAAAAAATTAATTCCTAATCAAGACCTATTTAATGTGCCTTGAATTTTTTCTAAATCTTCTAACATGTAAAAGAATTATAAGTTTAAAAAAAGCAGAATGCACTTTTGCATTTTCTATAATTTCCAAAGACCAAATATATTGAGATTTTTCAAGAAGAATATTTTATACCAATTAAGCTGGGACTCATTACTGTAAAAAGTATTTAGTAAAAGCAAGAATGTAACTTCCAAAGACTCTTTCTATCCAGAGCAACATCTAAAAGTATATCAAGTTTGTTCATAGAAAGATTGCCTGAGTTTATCTTCTTTATCTTCTATTTTCTATCTACCAGAGGATTTACAGTTTTCTCTTGTGAATTATGCAACCAAAAAATTGCTTCTGTTTCATCCTTTGGGAGAGTTTTGGTATAACTCGGTGTGCACTTAAATGGGTGTGGGTGGGTGTTGCAGGTAGTCCTGCAATCAAGGTAGTCCTTGATTAACAACTGGCCACTTAGCAATTGTTCAAAGTTATGGCAGACCCCCCCCCCCCCCCAAACCCTTTCCTCTTGTTCTCCTGAAGTTACAGCCACTGCAGTGCCCCCATGATTATTCACCCTTATAAACAATCACAGAGACACTGCAGCACACACCCACCTATCTTCCTCCATCCCCCCCACATCTTTACAGACTTTGGGCCTTCTTCTTGCTCCAGCTGCCCTACACCATCCTCCTCACTTACCTTTCAAAGATCTCCAAAGTTCCAGACTTTGGGTTGGAAAAGCAAAATAGATCACTTTGTTGCATGGTTGTCCAGCACTGTTTTGGAACAACCAGAATTTTCTGAGCAGCTGCACTGAATTGTGGTTGCTTAGAAAATGGCCACTTCCAGAATTGCACCATGTGGTCGTGTAATAAAGCAATCTGTTCTACTTTCCTAATTCAATCTCAGCAATCCTGTGGAAAACTCCAGAGTTTTGGAGATATTCAAAAGTTTAGGGCCCAATGGGTAGCATGGGGGAGGGAGGGAGGGAGAAATACCTGCAGAGGCTCTGAGGGGGGAGCAGATCCAAGGGCTGTAGGGATCCCAAGGGTAAGAAGCGAAGTACAGGGTATCTCAAGAGGTGGATGGGGCCCTGGAAGGCTCAGGGCAAATGGGCCTAGACTAATGCTAGATCTTCTAGGGCCTCCCCGATCCCTGAGGCAACCCATGCTCCTCATAACGACCTGCAAAGTCATTTAATTATTGCATCAGAGAGAGAACAGGGGATGAGGATTATTAAGGAAGACTGTCTCATTTAATCACCTCACCAGTTGCAAGTCTAATGAGCAGACTCCATTTTAATCATAAGTCGAGGACTACCTGCAACTAAAATAATGTACCAATAGGGTGTTATTAGGTTGAGCACAAATCATTTCTGCTATTTGGAAGAATCTTCTGCCATCTAACTCCAAAAGCTCATAATAGAGAGGCTAGAGAGGATGATAATTCAGATTCAGGTCACACAAATTGAGTCCAATAAATACTTGGGAGAAAAGTTTTTCATACTCTATATGGATGTATGGAGGTTTGATTTACATACAGAGTAAGCATTCCAATGGTACCTCAAATACTGGCTATTTAAGTTTTAATGTCTGTCCTCAAGCCCTGCAAGTTCCTTCCTTCTGCTACTATTCTTTTGCTTTGGTCAGTGCATAATGCACAATGAAGATTCAATGAAATTTCAAAAACTTTTATGCTATTATGGAATTGTGCTCTGATTTATCTAAAATATGAAGATTAAAATCTATGCATTTCAAAAAGTTTCTCAATCTGTTGTTCAATAATCATTAACTGATTACTAAGCATACTTACTTGCTACTGAAAAGTTGTTAAGAGGATATGGTAGATCCACATCTTGCGGCTTCTCCTTATATCCTATGAAGGAGCCATCTGTCTTCAATAAGAAGTATCTTGGCCTCCAATTTTTTATGTATTCCCCTATATAAAAAAATATTATTAATATAAATTGTATCTGAACTTCTGCTTGAAGTAGAATGGTCAACCAACTAGAAAAATGATAGTTTCATTCTCTATTTAACTTCAGTTCAGATAAAACCAATAAACTGAATAGGTGAAGCAATGAAGTTGCTTAATTTTTTATATTTTTAACTAAACATGAACCCTAAACATGATTTACAAATAAAACTAATATCATGGAAATTATATCCTACTGAAAGTGTGTGTGTGTGGGTGCGTGCACGCGCGCATTCATAAAATATCAAGCAGGCTGCAAAGCAGCTGTTTTAAGCCAACAAGAGACTGCAACTGTTTTATGTCTTCATATCTTAAACCCTGACCGGCATATTGACTGCTTCAAAATTCCTATTATTTCCACATTACGTTGACATATGTAACTGTTGCAAATTCATTTATAGGTCTATTACCATCTTAATACCTAAAAAAACATTAGGCCATTGCATTCTATTCTTATCCATTGTTCTTGCAATCCTACACATAAAAGTATGTACAGGGTTTAGAGATATTGGCAAGAATTTTACCAATTTATATTGAAACACAGAAAAACAAGCAACCAACCTTAGCTAATCTTGAAAAAGCTAAGTATGATCAGGCCTGACTACAATCCACATTCCAATGTTTTAATCTAGGCTGAGATTTTTCTTTAAACTCTCCCAATGGTTATAGCAAATTATTTCAAAAATACATTTTATAAGTATTATGTTAATGACTATTAAAAATACTATTCTTATTATAGTAATTTATAATAATAAGTTATTTCCATAAAGCTGTCAAAAAGATTTCATGGATGAGCTCCGTAGCTGAACTAGATCTAAGAAAATTTATTGTTTGGTTGGGGGGGTGGGAGGCATAAATAAAAATGAACTGATACTCTGAATATACAGAAACTCTTTCCTTTTTTCCTCCAAACTTTATTTACAAATCACAAAAAACACAAATTCACAACCCAGGAGACTATTCACTGATAGAGTGGTATTACTGGAAGGATCTACATCAGTGATGGCTAATGAGTGCCCAAAGCGTGCGTGCACATCCCCCAAATGTGATGTTTGTGTGTCCCACACATGCGCGCATGTCCCCATGCATGCACCCCAACCCTGCACACATGCACAGAAGAGACCCAAAGACCAGCTGGCCAGTGGGAGGTACGTGTGCAGGCGCAGCAGAGCTGAGCTGGGGTGATGGCTCACGTGCCCACAGAGAAGGCTCCGAGTGCCACCTATGGCATGTGTGCCATAGGTTCACCATCACGGATCTAACTGAATGTTGAATGTGAGTGTGTGTTTGGTGTGTGTGTGCACGCACAACTTTTCTGAAAACAAGAATATTTATAGAATTTTGAAAAAAGTATCCAAGAAACCATCACAATCTGATATTGTTATGTAGATATATATACAGGTGTTTTTATGTTTGAATGCTTCTTCTTTTTCCTTCTCCATCTCTTTTCATTTGTTTCATCTCCCACTGCTCATTTGTGGAAGATTTTTCTTTCCTTTCATTCCTATTCAATATGGCTTTTATTTATTTTTTTTAAAAAGGAAAAATGGAAATGTTGACATTGTTTTGCCACCTACAGCTTTAGATGACAAGTATTCAACACACATTGTTCAAACGTGTATGCTTGATTAAACTCACTTAATCAAGGGCACATAGCAACAATTAGGGCTGTGCAGGAATCTGGAGGCAAAGGGGGAAAATGTGATTATACACACAAACACAAATAACACACATACACAAGCTACTCTAAATTGGATTTATCTAACAGGATTTTAACATCCCTACGTTTCTATCCATGTTTTTATTCTAAAAAGTTAAAGTTCCAACTGAAGAGTTTCAGTTACAAATTCGTATAGGGAGGAACTACATAACCACAATTGGAACCTGTAAATTAGCCATTAAGAAAATGGTTGCTAAGTGAAGCAGGGATCTTATTTCAGCTTTCCTTTACTTTATAACCTGTGAAGGATGTAAATGCAAGCCCTGGTCATAAAGTTACCTTTTTTATCCCTACCGTAACTGCAGTTGCTAAATAAGGCAGTTGCTAAACAGGGTTTGTCGATAAATGAATCTTCACAAAATGACAGCATGTTCTTATAGGTTGATAGTATTGATAGTATAGTATAATCAGTCATTTATGATTACACAAAATCATCTATTGAAACTTCTAATCCACAGGTACTAATTTCAGCAAATAAAGTTACTGATCAATATGCATTAAGAATCTATATAATTTGCATAAAAACTCTCCCCCATCACACTTTTAAAAACTTCCTCTAAAGAATTTCCTCAGAAGTACATACAAACAGAAATGACAAAAGTAGAGAAATATTATGGAATATCAAGAAATATTCAGAACAAAGAGAAGTAAGTAAATTAAAACAAATTAGAATTGAATCACTCATATCAGTTCAGCTAAAATTATTCTTTAACTGAAAGACTATACTGTACTATAAATATTTACTTTTGGTAATTCACTTAAAATGCATTTATATCCATTCATAAATACAAATAACTGTATAAACGAAGTGGAATAATCATAAGAAATATGAAAGTAAATTTTCCCCAAAGACAAATACTGTGGAGAATACATTATATTAAAACAGAAAATGAATACATCATGAATGAAATTGTCCTCTGAAACATTAGTAGTAGTTCTGCTTTAGAGGATTATTTTCTTCCTTCTGTGTTAAAGTAAGCATACCTTATCATTCTTTTTCTTATAGCTAAAGTCTAATTCTGTAAATGTACTGGAGAAAACTACTTAATTCAAATAAATCCCTCTGGTGAAACAATTTAAAGTTATTTTGGAAAAATAATATCATATAAAGTTTGCCAATTAATTTAGGTGTAGCAGAGAAAACAGTTACAATGTATTCCTCCTATAAATAAAAAAGTAATTGTATTGGGAAATTATTACAGAAAATGGATTTAGGTGATATGCAGGTCATTCAAAATATATAAACTAATATATTTATATCTGTCACTGGCCAGAAGAAATTCTAAAGAGCTCAAAAAGCAAAACAAACAACAAACCATCACAAGACTAGATAGCATTTCCCTATTCTTAAAGTTTCTTAACAATTTTGTTTCAATGCACATTTAGATATACTTATAGTAAAACTGATAAACAGCATGAGTGCAAAATCCATACACCCAAGTATAAACAAGGTGAAGGCTATCAATATGCCAGCTCATGGTACAATGAAAGATAAATATTATTATTATATAGGATTTGTTATCATCCAACAAAAATGACATTGTATTTCTGAGATCTACACATGTATACTATCAGCAGTATTTGCATAAAATTATTATTTGGCCCATTTAAAATTATAGTAGAAAATTATATTATTAAAAAAATTATCTACTTCCAGGCAAATTTGAGGTCATGGTCAATTGCATTTCTTTTTACTTTCTCAGAAACAAGTGTATGCAACACTCAATAATTGATCAGTGTCATGGTCACCAAATGTCACACACCACCATTAATTTGTCCAAAGGATGGCGAAAATAGCTGGGGAACTGAAGCACTGAGTAAAAGATACTTGTACCTTTATACTACCCATGGTAAATCATCTGTTTTCTTTGGCATCATTCTTGTTTGCAATAATGGTCCATAATTAACAGTGCTTGTAAGACTTCTGCCAAGTCCTAATGTAAAAACCAGGAGGTCTGTGATTTCCTATAATGTCCTAGGTCATGAAAGGCGGACAACTGGAGGCTGAATGGAATTCAGCAGGATCCCACAGCTTAATTGCCATAAGGTCATTACTGTAATGCAATGTTATCTTGTAGTCCAATCTGCATGTAAATTCAGAATTCCAATAAAATAATTCCCAAGTGTCAGTTCAGAGCTGACATAAGATACTGTGATCAATGGCACCAGAAGTGATACCAGAATGATACAGAAAGATCAAAGAAATCAAGGATAACCAATAGGACCAAAATTACACCAGATGGTCACTGGGACAATTTTTGGAATTAAATCAGTTATGGTAGTCATCTTGGGCTAAAAATCAGCATTTTTATCCCTATCAATAAATGCCATAACTGTAGTCACAACTTTCTTAAATATCATTCACTCATGGTTCCCAGATTTTGGACACATTCTGTAAGATAGCCCATTTGAAGTACCTTGGTGTTGCCCTATTATGGACTGTCTTGCCCTGTTAAAGGTCATCACAATGAGTTTTAGCAGTATCCAGATATAATTGTTTAATATTAAACAATTATAGGTGAAACCAGTTTGGTTTAGTGGTTAAGGCAGGGATGTCAAGGCGGGTGCTTAAATCTGGCCTGCAGGGCCACCCTGAAAACAGCGTAGGACCGGCCCACAGTGCCTCTGCCAGCAAAAACAGAGCTCAAGAAAGCCGCTGTTTTCAGCCGCGACGGCCTCCTGCAACCCTCTGCCAGTGAAAATGGAACTCGGAGCTCCATTTTCACTGGCAGAATGCTTGGGCCACCACAGGTGCCCCTGACACGAGTGATGCTGACACCTACACCCACCTGGTCCCTGATGTCAAACACAACCCTGATGGTGCCATGATATCTCAGCAGTTCAGATTTGAATTATTAGGCCAGGACAACACACTCAGTAGGTGTGGATTTTGTGTTTCTTCTGACCTGCACAACCTGCTTCTGTTTCAATTCTCTCCCTGCTACTTTTCACCAGGACATATTAAGTAAGAACACAAGGCATCTAGGTTTGCTGGCTTGTTTTTTAAGATTTCAATCCATTAAAACAGATGCTAACAAACTAATTTAAAATAATACAACAAAAACCTAAATACATGATTTTTTAAATTATATAAACAACAAATCAGCAACAAAACAAAAATATAAAATTACCATCATTTTCCTTTTTTTCCAAGTTCATTATACAAGTATTTTAATCACTAATATTTTAAAAATAAAAGTTTAATTTTTTAGCACGCCTCATTTAGGAAAAATCTTCAGTAAGG